GGGTATGGGGGTGGGAGGGGAGGAGGTCCTAGCGCGTGGTTTACGAGGAAGGGTGGAAAGGGGAAGAAGAAGCGCAAGTCGAGGGAGGGGAGTGTACGCAGTGCTGCGTCGAGCGCGGAGGGCAGCGGCAGCGGACATGGAAGTGCGAGTGGGCACGGCGGGAGCGCGAGCGGACATGCGGGGAATGTAAGCAAGGAGAGCAGTGCGAACACGAGCGGGAGTAAGGATGGGGGTGGGAGCACGAGGTCGAGTAGGAAAGGGAAGGAGAATAGGGCGTTGCCGAGTCCGCCGGGTAGTGCGTTCCATGCGCCTGCGTATGGAGTGAGGCCTGGGAGCGCTTTTGGTGCGCCTATGACTCCGGCGCCGTCTGGTGGACCTATCTCGCCTGCGCTTTCTGCTTTCAATGCGCCGTCGGTTTCGACGCTCGGCTCACCCATTCCTTCGTTACACCAGGCTGCTGGATCGCCGGCTTCGTCGGTTGCTTCGCCTCAGTCGTCGTTTGCATCTCCGCATTCGTCGTTTGCAATCAATATCGCGGTGCAGCCGCCTACACGTAGCGGATCGCCGGCGCGGGCGGTACCTATGGGTTATGGACATACCTACCCACAGGAGAGGGAGAGGAGGATGAGCGTCGACGAGGCTCCTACTCCTAGGCGTGGCGGTCGCAAGTCTGGCGGCGCCGCTGGTATGGAGGTGCAAGGGACCGTTGGGGTCACGCCTCCGAGTTCTAGTCCGGGCACGCAGAGAAAGCACGCGCCACTCCGTGCATACAGAAGCGTACCGAGGGCGAACGCGATTTTCCCGAGTTCATCGCCTGTCGCGGCTTTCGCTGCCCTCGGACCCAGAGCGGACGGAGAGGAGAGGCGGCCCAGTGCCGCACTTTTTGCTGCGCAGGCTCTTCAAGAAGAGGATGAAGATGACTTTGGACGGGTCGAGTGGCCCGCGCGCGTTAGTGGGGAGATCATCCGACTCTCACTATCATCTCCATCGAGAAGGCAGAGCGCGCTTTCATCGGCAGCATACTCGCGCCATTCTGCGTTGTCCAGCGCGAGTGGGACGACCACCACCGAGCTCGGAGAACGCGTTGGTGGAGAGGAGGTACAAGCAGGAAGGAAGAGCATAGACACTGTGGGAACCTTCGGCCCGCGGGCCCCGGCTCGCGTGAAGCGCACGCTATCTGATGGCCGAGCCGGTGCAATGGCGACCAGGCCCAGTCCGAATCCGAACGCGGCGAAATCGAATAACAATCCCTTGTCTCTTCCCGCATCAACGACCTCCTCCTCCTCCCCGTCCTCCTCGCCGACCTCCCCCTACCGCGCGTTCGATACGCTCAACGCTTCCACCGCCCCGACATCACAAGTTTATTACTCTGGAGCGTCTGCAGCCTCAGACGCACAATTTCCGGACTCCCCGTCACCGACGCATACGACAAACTCTGCTCGAGGGATCGCGTTGGACGAGATGCAAAATACTCAGGATAATGGGTTTTTGATACCCGGACCGTCGACGCCTGTACCTTCTGCGCCGACTACGCCGCGCCAAACAAAGCCACTTCGCTCGTCTCTGCGTTCACGACCAGCCGCATCACCGGCCAGCTTTGCCGACTCTGGACTGGGCATACGTAGCACTGCCACCAAGACATACCCGAGTGACGCTGCACGGCTCTTGGCAGAGCGTATCGCTCGTGGCGAGAGCGTGGAAGGAGAAGACGGGACGGAGACGCCGACTGGGAAGGGCAAGGGAAAGAGGAAGGCGGATGACGCTGAAGTTACGCCGCCTGACATGCGCAGGGCGAGGTTCGGGTCGGACGTCGATGAACACGGTGAGCTAGTTCGCTCTTTTGATGAATGGATTGATGCGCGATATGTTCTGGCTCGCCTCGTGTGCGATCTTCGCCGTACGCCGCGCAGCAACAGTCCATGTTTGTTGTCTTGGACTGCTCTTGCAATATGTCACTCGCTGGGACTGATTCCCAAAGCATTTGACCATTGCATCCGCGCTTTCACATGAATTCGAATGATACCATACCGAGATGAACATGAACTGACATAGCAACCCAATCTAGGCGCCCTCCCAGCAGCCTTCTCCTTCTCCCACGCTCCATCATCCTTCGGCGGGCCCTCGCGCAACCCCAAACGTGCCCGCCTCTCTTCGCCCGAACCGCGTCCCCCATCAGCACAAGGCCAGCACTCGAACAACTTCGGCCGGACGCAGTCCCGCGCGTCCTCGCGCCCGTATTCGCGTGGGACGGCCAGCGCTACTCCCGAGGCGAATGCGAGGAGGGAGAAGAGGACGAGTTTGAGCGGCGCCAGTATACCCATTTCTGCGCTCGTGGCGCCGCATGCGCCGAGCATGTCGCATCTCACGGATGGGAGCTACCGCATGCGCGATCCGAGGAAGCCGGCGTCCCGCAAGATGCACACGCCGTGGTCTTTACGCCGTCGCAACGTGGAAGCCGGTGAAGAAGGCAGCCCAGTCCAAGCATGGCTGTTCTACCTCGGCTTCATCACGCTCATCGCGTGGTTCATCGGCGCATTCTGGCGCGTACCGAGGACGAGGGTGTTGAAAGAGGGAGGCGACGAGGAGAAAGGGCGCGATGTGCTCGTGGACGATCCTCAAGTCGAGTTCGACGCGAGGAGGTGGAGGATGCGGTGTCGAGTTATGGCCGTCGTTGGGATTTGCACTTATATCCCTTTCGTCGTGCTCGTGGGCGTGTTCGTTGGACGATGACATACCCTTGCTTTGCGTTTGTTTGCTCGTTACGACCTTTCACTGGGCTCTCTGATCTGCTTGCCTCCCGTGAACTATGCCACTCGCTTGCTTCCCTCGCTCGCCCGAACTATGTGTTCCTCCATCTTCGTCCATGTCTTCCTGCATCATCGCCCTTCTTATCACACATGTCTATCTCGTATCATCCGCACCCCGTCCACCTGTCTGTCTGCCACCAAAAACAATGCCTCTCGTTGTATCCCACGCCCTCCGGCACCCACTGGCACATCTGCCCCGCTGTCTTTACTCTCCTTGTCTACTCCTCCCACAGCTTGCTTGCCACTCCGTCCTCGTGCACTACAGTCCCCGCCGCGATGTCTCCGTATCCTCCCTTGCCACACCCTCACACCCAGAGTCTACGATCCGTACCTCCATCCCATCCCGTTCAATCTACTTTATCACCTCCACCCTATTTTCCGCGAAGCTCCCATCTATCTTCCATCTAGAACGCCTCTACTTGCGCGAATCTGTTGTACATACCCCTCATGATGTTTGCCGTTGTCGAGAAGTTCGGGTCGAGTGTGGGACGGATGCGGTACTTATATGGCAAGCGAACTGACGATAGCCGTTTGCATGCAGAGAGGATTCGCGCCTCGTGTTGTAGGGATGGCTGATGGGATGCCGTCTATGGCTGCTGACTTGCTTTGTTTGCCACAGTACTTCCCTGCTCGGACTGCTCGGTCGTATAAGACTCAGGTGCGGTGTTCTGGGTAGTTGGACGTTGGCCGCTTGCTCCCTACACGCCTCGCCGCACGCCGTCTCTCGGTGTCTGACACCATGACAACCAGCGCACCGTTGCCGCTCATACTGGCCAAGTATGGCGGACACTCGATAGCAATTCCTCGACCTGTAGTCCTGCCTTACGCCCCAGATACTGTACCTTTCGTGAGTGATGAGTCGTTTTCTCGGATTATTTTCTGTCGGCCTGTTAACGCGCCTCTTTGTAATACAGCTTAATATGGTAGACTCTTTGAACTCCGCCTTTCCGTCCATAAGCAACAAGAAATACACCATTGCAGCCAAGGTACCCGGACTGAAGGATACGATCGAGATCCTGCCAGCACTGTGGAAGGATATATGCGCAAATGTGACGGAAGTGCATGTGACGTTGCCTTTGACTGAAGAAGGTGAGAGGCCGTGCGCATTCTGAAGCGTGTGTAGCGTCCTCAATATGTCTTAGAGAAGCGCTTGAAGCGGCTCACCGAAGAAGCTACCTCCCGCATCCACGTAGAAGCGCCGACCGGTCAAAAATATGCTTTTGACATCAACTTCAACTGTGCCGATGCGCGCGACCTGAAGTACCTTGTGGAGCAGAAGATCGGGGTACCCATTGAGAGGCAGGTTCTCACTCACACAACGTACAATCCTAGAGTGGGGAACAAGAATAGGGCTGCAGCTCGTAGTCTTGTTGGGCGCGAGGTGGCGGAGAACGACGTCCTCATCAACTGCTTTGTCGACCCTGAGGACAGCCTGCGTCTCAAAATCAGTCCGAAGGAGAGCAGTACTCTAGACGTTGTGATCCGGGCCAGAGGGTGACACTGTAGCAGCCGGACCAATGGCTCCTTGATCTTCATAGATAGCGTGACTTACCAGAAAATGCCAGCACTTCTTATGCTGCGACGGGACTAGGCTGGCTCACTGGAGCTATTGACGGACATCGCACTGTGCAGTATGACGCTAGGCGCCTTTGAACGTCGATTCTGCAAAGCCTTTGGTAGCAGATCCATGCCTGCGTATAAGACTCACCTGATAATACATATTAATGTGTGGCGACTCGCAGTAAAGTGGGGCTCATATACGCGTACAAGGTGAGGCGCGTTTGCCATGTGACCGCGTCAATGTTGGCTACGTCATGGTACTTGTCCTGTTCACGTCTTCCATCGTGGTCACTGCAGTACACCCATTCAGAGTGTTCTTCTACAGAGCATCTGCATCACCGTCACTGTGGCCACCGGACACATTGTTTTCAAATCGCTATGGGCGCATTGTCCAGATGACCACCTGCAGGTACTGCGATATACACGGAACTCGATTCTATGATGGTTATCCGCTTTCCTTCCTCCGTTTCTGGCCTCGACGCTCTGGTACGGTGAGGCCATAAGAGCCGAATTACATGGCGTCCTTCGCATGGTGCCACCATGTTCGATGCCACCCCTGAAGTCCAGCGTAGCGAGGACGTTGACCCGCCACTCACGAGCTTAGGTCCCGATCAACCCGTACCGGTAACCGTCATCGTTGTGCGTTATGGGGACGAGAAGGTCATGATGCAGCTCATCCTTGACTACAAGGCAAGCCCCAATACTCTCAGCGCTGGCAGCTGTGCGAACGGCTTGACTGATTGATGAGCGTTCTAGCCCGCCATCGCGTATGCGGCCAGTGCATTCAATTCTTTGAACAAGAAACCCCACGATAGGATCTGCTTCGAGGCGCAGATTGACGGGAGCAAGGGTCTTGCGAGGATCGACGAGCGCCTATGGCCACTCGTTGCGCCCACTCTACCTGAGGTTACGCTTCGCCTACTGCCGGATCCTGATGCTGTATTGGCATCGCTCGCTCGTCGTCAAAAACGAAGTGAGTCTTCAGCATAGTCTCTGAAAGCCTTACTACAGTCAAAGCGCATACTCATATCCGAGGACGAATAGCTCGGGCCGAAGCTCGACTGCGACTGATCACGGAAATCGCAACCTCGCCCATCTTGATAGTAGCAGCAGGCGACGAATATCCGCTGGACATCAATCTCATCTCAGCGACGGTTCTCGAGCTCAAAAGAGTCATCGAGAGGAAGCTCGGCCTGCCCATCTCACAGCAGCAACTCTACATGCAGCTCCCTCGTGAAGACATTTGGCCCGCGGAGGACAACGACATTCTCGCTTCGGTTGGTGTCATTCGGGGAAGCAAGATCCCGCTCGGAATCAAGAGGTCCGGCTGGTGACATACCCGAAAGACGCTCGTAGGCATAGAATGGCACCTCGATAGGTTGTACAATACATGCGCGCGCAGTATGATCAGGGTTGGGAAGGTGGGAGGAAGCCCGGGTATTGGCGTCCCGGGTTGTGTACTGTGATGACGCGCTCGTCGGTGAAATGATGAATATCGAACTTGCCGTAGCCACTGCGGCCGCTGGAATATGAAGAATTAGTGTTGTTCTCCATTCCTTCGTGAGAAAACGTACCCGAGACCAGCAATACCATTGCCCCACTCGTTGTTGATGGTCATGCCGTTGATGTTCACGGATCCTGGTTGAAATGGAGGGGATGAGGGTGATGTTGTATCAGTGGAGTAGCGGGTACTCACCTGCGCGAATGCGCGCGGCAATGTCCAGGGCATCCAGAGACTTTGTCCATACGGCCGACGTGAGGGAGTACTCTGTGTCGTTCGCTAGCTCTATCGCATGGTCCACTGAATCAGCGACGGTAATAGACAAGACTGGACAATATCTTGAGTGGCACGTCTCAGATGGGATACTGCATCATGTACGCACTAGGGCCAAAGCTCTCCTGCTCCCATAGCCGCATGCCTCGCTTGACGCCGAGAACTATATGCGGCTTGAGCAGCGCACCCTCGCGTTGCAAATCGCCAGCAATGATCTCGGCGCCGTTCTCCTTTGCATCGCGAAGAAGACTCAGTATGCCTTCCGCGCTGGTCTCGGTGAACAGTGAGGACATCGGCGAAGTCGTAGGGTCTCCGGCGGAGAGTGATGCCATATGTTTCTTGAGTGCTTGTAGGAGAGGCTCTACTGCTGAACGTTGGACGATGACCCTCTCTGTTGACATACAGACTTGGCCGGAGTTCATAAGAGCCCCTGCGAGCAGGCCCCGCGCGCAGTCATCGAAGTCCGCATCTGCCAAAACCTATATCACGAGATGAGAAGGGGAGCTACTCTAGCATGGTTGTATGCGCACCAAGGCCGGGTTCTTTCCACCAAGCTCAAGCACGCAAGGCTTGAGATGCTTCGCGCACTCTGTTGCTATCACTCGCCCAATACGGTCACTACCTGTGAACTATGTGGAGATCAGTGTGAGGTTGTACCATACAGTGTACTCCACGCACCGAGACGTTGCGAATAGCGGGGTGAGCGATGATCTCTTGCGTCAATGTCGGGGTGTCTTGTGGGCTCATTGGTACGAAGTTGATTACGCCAGGAGGGATACCGGCCTGACATGATCTCGTGAGTATTTCTATACATCTGCTTGAGCGAGCATACGCACCTCATTGAAAGCGTCGATGATCAGTGCGTGGACGCGGGGCGAGAACTCAGAGGGCCTCATAACAATGGAGTTCCCTAGGATCGCAGGGATTGCGACGCCCCGCAGGGTCAGGGACACCGGGCCGTTCCAGGGTATCACGGAGTACCTGTAAGTGAGAAGGTAAGGGTCAACTGCTAAACGAACAAGCGGAGCACACGAACACCACACCCTGAGCGCGTCTTTGTACGATGACTTGCCCACCGCCAGGCACACAGCTGGGGAAGGTCTGGCCCTTCAGCTCGTTAGCCATTCCGGCATACGCGCGCATCATAGCCGGCACGTTTGTGTGATATCCCAACCACGAAGCTGTCGAAGACGTCTCCTCCACCATCGCCTCCCGGACTTGCTTCTTCCACGACTCCGAGTCCATTATTTCCGCGGCTTTACAGAATAGAGTCTGGCGCGCCCAAGGTGAGAGCGCTTCCCAAGCTGGGAAAGCGCGTTGCGCAGAAGTAATTGCATCCTGGCAGTCCGCAGAAGAAGCAGCAGCAGAGGTCGTGACCGGCTTGCCCGAGAACGCGTTTCGGACGACGAATGTGGAGCCCGTGCTAGAAGCGCGATGAGCGCCGTTGATGTAAAGCCGGACCAAAGGTCGAGTGGCCATCGTCGTGGTGGGAGAAAGCAGGGGCGAGAAGTGCCACAAGTGTGTTCAGATGCTCTTATATACTCCCCGCAGTACTTAAGGTTCAAGCCCGCTGTATAGTGGGCGGGAGCGGGACGCAAGCGCCGCAATGACAAGGTGACAAGGCAGCATGCTCGCTTTCAACTTGACGACGGTTTGATGTCGAGAATTCGGACGCTCGCATTTCCGCCGCGTGCTGCTGAGAGCACGCACATTCGGGCCACTACTATATGATGCGTTATTAGATGGATGACCTGCGAGTAGGATGAGAACGCACCTGAAGGAGCCTGTTGTCTTCTGTGAACAATCAAGCGCCGTGTGACCCTCCGAGGCTCCGTCCAGTGACCTCGGTTCCAATCCTGTTTTGAGACCGAGACACTCTGCATCTCAAGTACCCAGAACTTGTGCATCATCTTGAAAGCGAAGTCGTAACGAGGTCGTGGACAGAACACAGTGACTGGTGTGGCGACGGGCCGGCCTTTAATGGATGCGCTGAAACGCGGTCACGCGACTTTTGGTATACTCTACATGAAGCTCGACGGCGCGAAGTATGCGCGGTTACGGGGGTCGATGTCTCATTTCGTAGTGCAGGACGCTCCCTCAGTAGCCCATCCCGTCTGACGTATCAAGGTCATAGCTTGCCAGCACACCTCGCGTTCTCACTCAAGCTCAGGGGTGCTCCAGAGACTCGTCAACGGATTCGCCAATCGTCGTGAAGGGCATTCGTCGCCTCGGACTGGTAGTCACTGCCACGTCGGGGCCTTTGGATACGGAAACGTATTCACGCAACTTTCCTGTCATGACGCTACTACTAAGTACGCTTATCCAGCACGTGCCGGCACTTGTAACGTAGGCAGAATCGTACTAACGATGTTGACAAAAGACACTCAAATACAACCATCTTGGAACTTTTGACAGAGTAGCTTATGACCGCCTTTGCGCCAATCACTGCGCACACCAGTCAGTGAAGACGCCACGATGAAGGACTTACAACGTACTTCTTTTGACATTCCGTGCTGCAGTAACGAGCTTGCTTACACCCGCCACAGCTTTTCAGATCCGCGGGCGACGTCATTCTTGCTCTTCCCATTGAGAATTGACATTCCTTCCACGAGCAATGGCACTTTTCTTCTCTTTCAAAGCGTTGCCGTTCGGCACGTTCCCGAAGCTTCAACCTGGCTCCAAGAAGAGTCCACCGGTGGATGATCTCGTCGTAAGAAGCTGATTGCCCGGCGTGATATTTCGCGAGTCGTAGGCGATATAATCCAGGCCACCAAACGCGAGGAGCTGCATCCTTGAGGTCCGCAAGAAACCGGCGCTGATTCGCAGTCGAGTTCCGCCCTGTCTCCGGCACGGAAACTGCGAGGTTGTGAACAGCGTTTGTGATACCGATGTAATTCGCTAAAAGGGTCAGATATATATTACAGGTGAAGATTCATTGTACCCACCCTTGTTGAATCCGGTCAGGCTTGCTTCGACAAGCAACAAGTCGATTGCTCGAGCCAAAAGCTCCAAGGCATCACTTGCGTGAACCTTCTCTGAGCGCACCAAAGTCTTACTAGAAGCTCGTCAGTGTAGCTGGGGATGTATGTTGATCACGACTTACTTCAGCACCTCGATCGCCGCAGTAATGGTACCATCTCGATCCCCAGCCCTCGCCTTAGCTTTGGTGGCTAGTCTAGAAGCCGCGGCGACGAGAGCTGACAGGAGATCTTTGTAGCTGACATGAGCTTGCAAAAATGACATGTCAATGAGCCTTGCTAGAGACCAAGCAATGCGCATAACCAGAACGTCCGGGTTGTCTTCGCGTCGTAGTTCTGCGTATGCTCGATTTATGAACTCTTTTATGCCAACACCGTTGAGAATAACATCTTTGGCGAACTTCTCTCCCTCGGCTTCTTGATATTTGGGCGACGAAAGGAAGGTGACGAGATGGTAGCATGCCGCGATGCGCAAGTCGCGAAGATTTACAGTTGTCCAGAAGTAGACGCCGAGGTGAGGTAGGTATGTGGTGGGTGGAGGTTGTGCATCACACCTGATATACAAATAAGCAAGCTGAAGGGCATGATAAGGTTGAACACTGACGTTTTACAATATATCTGATAAATCTCGAGGATAAGCCAGAGCAGCTCTTGTTCACGCAGCATGCCGGATTCTGGACTCTCAAGTCCGGAGACGTCAATAGTATCTAAGCGAAAGCGGGTGCGATTTTTCCAGAAGAGCTGTAAAAGAGGTGGTGTTCGTAGTATTATGTCGTTGGCTGCCTTGGTTTTGGGCTGGATTGCGCGGATGCAATGCGTGAGCCCGCTGAGGAGTTCACACAGTATTCTCTGCACCAACTCTTGTGAGCGACTGCACCCAATACTGCGGGGGGATGATGGACAAATACATTATCTTGTTGGCTCCAGAACGTGTTTTGGAGTAGAATGTCGATATAAAGGGTATGGAGACCTTCCTGGACGCATTGATCCGGGAAGGCAGGGGGTGCACCAGCATCGATGAGAAAGCCGCATAACTGTGTGACGAGGAGCGAGAAGTCACTTTTGTCAACCTCTGTTCCGGATGCCACGGCATCCTTATGGCTTTTGGCCAATTGACGAAGTAGAGGGACACCGAGACGAGGATTCATCTGCCATCTTCCCAAGAGTTCGAGAAATTTGATTCTTTGACTCTCCATTATATAGTTGGCGGTAGCGTCTGTCCCTTCTAGCCGGTAGACAAATGCCGTGCGCGCGGGGCGACAGGAGTACTAGATCGCGATCGTGGTGCAAGAGCAAGTTGCAGTTCCGCCACGCATACGCAGCACCACGCATCACGGCAGATCACGGCGGCCGTGGTATCGACGCGGTCACGCGAGTTCGGAAGACGTGTTGAACTGCGCGTTGGAGGCTTGACACGAAACAGAACGTTTCGAGAACAAGTGTCGGTATACCCAAGCGCCGATGGTCATGGCTCATAATGAGAATATTGCTGGTATTATATACGAATCTCGTCATCGCGCGATGTTAGGCCCGGGGGCCTCGATGGCGAGAGAGCATACGACGTATCCCTGCGTTGAGTTGCACTTCGGCGATTGCCCGCAATGTATTCGCCACCAGGCGCTAGCATCTGATAGTACGATCTAAAACTCATCAGACTTGCATCACGGTGTGCATCGCCCCATGTGGCATGTATGAAGTCGCGTATTGGACGCCGTTCCGTCGTACTATAGGGAGCACCAAAGAACGTATAGCGATGAAGAACGGGTTCATTAAGAGTCCTGTGCTGCCCATCACGACTACTTCCGGAGTCTCTTACAGATCTTCTTGTGGCCACCCTTGCTCCAGTCACTGGAGGTATGGATCAACGTGGTATTGTGTAGATGAAGTCTAATGACGTACTTCATCTGGCATTCTCTGTCACAATATTGCGCTTGCGAGCAACCAGCGCACTTCTTCAAACCCGCACGGGACTCTTTTTTGGTCATCGAAAATTCACACTCTTGCCACGAACAGTGGCGTTCAGCCTTACTCTGGAGGCGAGTGCGCTCCTGTTCTTCCGAGAGCCTGAGACTCTTGCCCAGACGGATCCACCACTGGATGAGTTCTTTTTGCTGTTCGTTGGCTCCTGAGCGTAGTTGTGCTATCCTGAGGCGATTGAGATTGGGCCACCAAAAGAGTCGTGCAGCATCTTCAAGCTCCTCTAGGTATCGTGGCGCGTCGAGGGTGGGCCGCCGTCGCAAGGTCATTATGAAGCCGGCGAGGTTGTTCACGACGCCTATGATACTCTTGTGGTCGCCTGAATAGAAAGACAATCAGCGATGTAAACACGCGACAAACTCTGACTCGTGCACACCATCATTGAGGCCGGATACATCATCAGGCACGAGCGATAAATCAATGGCACACGTCAAGAGCTCGAAAGCATTGTGGCCACGATATCTCCTTGTCTTGTCAGTGTCGTGTCTGTGAATCTTCAGTCTGACGACGGCGTGGAGTACAATAAGTACGTACATGAACATCATGAGAGTGCCAGTAAAGACTGCAGCACGCAGAACAGGCGTTGTTCTGGGATTTGCGACGGAACGGGTAGATGCAGCGATAGCATACGGTAAGGGAGAGTTGGCATCAAAATAAATCTGTAGGCAACGCGTTTCGTTGAGGTTCACGAGAAGCCAAACAATTGTCCTGGTTAAATCATCAGGATAATCCTCTATCTGCATGTCCTTGTCCGCGCGTTCAATGAACTTGTCGGCGCCTACAACCTTCACCAGGATATCACGGGCGAACGTCTCCCTCTCTGCGAGCGGATGCGGCGTGACTTTGGTGAGGAATCTGAGAAGTTTGACTAGGTGAATCACGAGTTCCCCTCGCCAGTTGATTCTCGTCCAGAAGTAGATCCCAAGCTGCGGTAGATACGTTTCTGGGCCAGGTTGGTCGGCGTGTCTAGGAGTTAAGTTTATGTTGGACTTGCAAGATCAGTCATCCTGAGGGAATCAACATGCCTCTTGAGATATAGTGCGTAAAACGCATGCAGAACTTCGACTATGTCTTGCTCTGGCATTGCCTTCCAAACCCTCTCAAACCCGTGTATATCCAGCGTCCGCAGGTCGAGTTGATCGCGATGTTGCCATATAATCTTGAGGAGAGAAGGGGCACGACGTAATATATCGTCGGCCGCATCCGGATACTTTTCGGTGTGAGGTATACAATGCGCCAGGCCACCCAGTAGGTCTGAACGTAGTACCTGCGATAGCGGATAACAATCATCGTCTGCTCCAGATTGGAAGGATGTGCGTCATCTAACAAACCTTGGTCTCCTCTGACTCGCTCTCCCAGACGACATTCAGCAGCAACGCATCCAGATATAGTGAGTGCAATCCGTCCTGGATCAGTAGACTCCAGGCACCGGCGCCCAATTGATCGGCTTGCATGACTAGATTCATCTGCGACGCGATTGTGCGAAACTGCTCTTCGATATGTGATCGCGTGTCTACGGTGTTGGCCAACATCTGCTGGTGCGCAATGATGGTACGATATGCGGCCACACACTTGCGTGGATTGCCTTTCCAGAGTTCCCATATTTCGGTTGCCGCTCGCCGTTGATCGCCCGATAGGTTCAGCGCAGACGCTAACCCGAGCGGGTCATACTCAAGCGTGTTCGAGGTTCTGCTGACTGCAGAGGATGAAGACGTGTCTTCGGACATATTGCAAAAGAGTATATCAGCTGAAATTATAGCCAGTAAGGTGTACAGCAAGAGCAACAACAGAAGTTGTATTGGAGATTGGCAAGTTGATGGTGGTGGTTTCGAAAGAAGTTTGTCTCACGGACGACATCGCGATCGCGGCGGGGAAATATACATTCTCACGCGACCGGTATACTACCCATCCCACCTCTAATCTACCTTCCAAGTTCGGCGTAGGGACAAGGTGTTCACCAGTACTCAGTGCGTCCCTTTCACGATCGACTTGTTGGTGTTCACCAAAGGATCGTTGGAACAGTAGTGTCGGTTATCCCGCTCTCGCCTGATAGAGCGGAGCTATTATATATATACAATTTATATTACTTCACATTCTTCCACACGGAGTTGTCCACAGTAAGCGCAAGGTAAACCAGTCTTCAAACAAGGGTCATCCGTCCGCCGCACGAGCTTAATGAGCCAAGTCGCGGGCAAAGTGGAAGAAGTCGACGCTCGACGCGTTCACGCCGTACTTGTAGATCTGCAGAAGGGTCAACACCATGCTATGAGTGGTGAGCGGCAAGAGACTTACGAAGTGCGCTGCAACCCAAGCCGAGAACAACGCGCGCTGATACGCCTCGGGCAAGCGCTTCAGCAACTCCTCCAACCCGACCTTCTCCACAAGCGTCTTGGGAATCGCCCTGCGCATCACACCCTTCTTACTCGGCTCATCCTCAAACAAGTCACTCCCAGCAAGCTCGTCCTGCAGCGCGTTGAGCTTAGTACTCAACTCGTCGCTGATCGCCGTGCGGCTCTTCGCGCCGCCGAGGCGCACGCTCTCGCGCCAGATGCACGCAAACTCGGACGCGGCGTTCGCGGAGATGGTCGCTTGGATGTCCTTGACGTAGGACTCATAGAAGGGCGAAGGCTTGTTGTCCTTGAAGATCATGAGGTCGGAGTACTCCTGGGTGTTGAGCGCGAGACCGGCGAGGACCTCGAGCGACGAGCTCGTAACACCACCTGAAGTGGCAAGTCAACATCATGACATGCGGGAATGGACGAAATAGACACACCCTTGTTGGCGCTCGAGTCCTTGAAGAGCACGACCTTGCGCTTCTCGAGGTACAACCGCGCCTGCTGCGTGAAGAACAAGTTCGCGCCCTCGACGACGTACTTGAAGTGCGGCTTGCCCTCAGCGTCGACGAGCGCCGCGACGTTCGACACGTTGACCGCTTCCGGGCGCCCACCACACGGTACGAACAGATCGGCCTTGAAACGGAGATGCGCGCCGTTGCGGAAGTCGGTTCCGTCGGGGATCACCTCGCCGGAGGGAAGCTTGATGTCCTGGTCCTCGACGCGTACAAGGTAACCGTCACGACTGAGCTTGGAGGTGTCGAAGTTCGCGACGGGTACGCGCAGCTTCGCGAGGCGGATGAGCTCGGCGCGGTCGAGACCAGCAGGGTCCGCAAGTACACCAGAGCCGTCGATGACTGCGATGGTCTTGTCGGAACTGAGGAGGATCTCATCTGGTCGGGCGTCAGTCTAGAGTCTTCTTCTGACGTTGAGCAGATACTCACTCGAGCCAAGATCACCGTCCGGTCCTCCGGTCTGCACCTTCGTGATGTCCTTCTCGCGCAGCCCAAGCTGCTTGTAGATGCCCAGCACGTACTGGCGCACTGACAACGACGTCATGCCGTACACGTCGTGCGGCACACCACCTAACGATGCGGCGGTCTTGCCCGTCGTGAACGACTTCCACCACGCCTCAGCGCCACGCGCACGCGCATGCAGCGCCGCCCAGTCCATCATATCAGCGGTGCCCTCGTCCGGTCCGAAGAACAAGATCTCGGGTTTGCCGTAGTGGTCGACGAGGCGCTCCTTAATGCCCGGACTCTGACCGGGAATGAGCAGGTCGAGTACGGCGTCGACGTACTTCTCGAAGCACAGCCGCGGGTTGGCACCGAGCGACGGGAGTATCGTGCCCTTCGCGCCACCCTCGGGTATATCCTTGTTCTTGAGCGACTGCGTTGAGGCAAGGGCGTAGTTCTCATCAAAGAGCATGCGCTGGTTGATGGAGTAGTTCTCGCGGTTGCGCGAGCGCACGATACGAATACCGCCACGCGCGACATCCTTGAAGCGGACATGGAAGCCACGGAACTCATTGCCTGCGTGCCATCGTGAGTTCCGCGCACTAGATAACGGGCATCAAAGACGTACCGATGATGAAGAACAGACCGAACGGCTTGTTCGGGTACTCAATCTCCGGGAGGAAGTCGGGCGCCAGGCGGAAGGACAGTGCAACCTTGGTCGGCTGGTAGAAGTTGGTCTTCAGGACGTGCTTGTTGAAGATGAGCAGCGCCTCGAGTATCGCAGCCTCCTGTTTATCCTGGACGGTCTTGCGGATGCGCTCGCGGAGCTCAACATCTGACAGCGGCTGCTCGGTCTGCAGACGCTGGTACGAGAGCGTTGGCATCATAGCCTGAGCACTCGCATCGCTCTCGGGGTAGTGCGTCATGGCGAAGTTCACGTAGAGCATACGAATCTGTGATGCATGTCAGCCAGATACGAGGCAGAGTCGAGTACAGGGCTCACGATATCGGGGTGCGCATGAATGATGTTCGCGATACTCTCGCGGGTGAACGTCTCCTCCCTGAACCGGCGACGAATCTGGTCCAGAACGTCCGCATGCGCCGGGTTGGTCTCGTCAAGGACTGCCTTGAGCTGGAGGTATGCCGCGCCGAGTCGGTTACAGAAGTGCTGGGCGAAGATCCAGCCTGCGTAGGCATATGCAGCATCCTGTACGGCGTGGCCCTGACCGGTAATAGATGCCGGTGAGGCTTCAGAGGCCAATGACCCCGAAGTTGGCGTGAAGAACGGGTTGTCGGGCAGGCAGTACAGGAGCGAGACCTCTCGCATGATCTGGTTGATACTGTGTTCAATCGGCGGAGCGCCAGGCGCAGCAGATGAAGGCATGGGGTTCAGGTAGAGCGAGATGATAGTGATGCCGTTCGAGAATTGCTCTATGAACGGGATCGATCAGTGTATATAGAGTGTGAACAAAGAACATGGCTTACCGACATATTTGCGCGCTGAGTAGAGCGCATAGTAGTGGTACAGGTTCGAGAGAGCACTAAAGAGGCCAGTGGTGCCTCCCATCTTGTAACCAATGACCATACGACGTTCGCGACTGCCCTCGACCTCGAAAACCTCGATGACGGGGCCATAACGCCGCTCGACGGCCCACATCACACGCTGGTAGATTTCGAGCGTATTCGCGCTCGCCTTCTCAAGGAATGATGCGTCGGATACGGTGCGTATGTCCGTCTGTCCATCGCTACGGCCAGAAGCAGCCGGTGCAGTGGGGAAAGAGCACCGCGAGACGAAGTAGCAGCGCAGCTGTTGTGGCGTGTTCGCCGAGACAGCGCCGGTCGAGCGGTACGTTTCGAGGCGGTAGCACTTTTCCGGCGTTGATTTGTTCAAGAAGAGCTCGTCGATGCTGGAAACAGAAAGTATCAGTGATGAGAAATAATGTTACGGGCCCGAACAGGTATAGCGGCGGGAGGCTGGGAAGACGCGGCGAAGTTCAAGACGCGTCGCGACGCGCCCATTGATTGAATCAAGCGCTCGCCACCCATTGTACGGCGATAATACCGCGATCGCAACAGCAATATATCCAACCTAGATAAGGAAGACTTACCGCGCCTCGCACGTAGCACCGGGGCCCTCAGTTGCGGTCTTGCCGGGTGGCGATGTGTGGATGAATGTAGCGCCAGCTTCGTTCTCGGCGATACGTTCGAGATCGATGACGAGCGTGGTTGGATCATGTTTCGTGTACGCCAGCAGTTTCGCGCCGAAGAGAGCGAGAATATGATCGCACACGACATCGGGCGATTCGTTGGCGAAATAGGTGTCGTCGATGCCAAGGTGTTGGTAGAACCAGGCGACCTATGAAAGTATACTCAGTACGTTTTGAGCGCCGAGAGCGTTATGAAGGGAGGTCTGACCTCGTTCGCTACCAGTTCTTGCGGGATGAAGCCCTTGGACGCGATGAGGGCTTGCACTTTCGCGCGCTGCTCATCCTTGGCCGCAAAGGTCGGGGTAAGGTAGCCAGGCTCGTTCTTGACGCGGTGCAAGGCGTCGGGCTTGCCGGGCACGTTGAGTAGACTATGCGCGGCTTCTACAGCAGACATGGTGGTGGTAGCGGTAGAAGTTCGAGAAGCAATACAAAAGGCCTGGCGGCAAGCAACGTTTATAGCTCCGGCGCGCCACACCCGAGCGCCTGCGCGAATATGCACACCGCTTAGTACCGCCTCGCCCTTTCACGTCTCCGCTGGGGTCATCAACGGCTCATTGACACGCCCCCTTCTAGCCGCGCACACGCGCTTGCAAGTCGTGCGGCCTGACGTCGCACATGCGAGGCCGAGACCCGGAACGCTTGACCGTCGCGTTGCAAGACGCGTCGCGAGACGCGACGCGCCTTCCACCTGACCACCACCGTGATCTCTACTTGATCATATTCTACTATTGCGTAGTTCACCGCGCAAGTCAAGTGCTTGGGCGCGTGCGTTTCATCGTACATTTTCCGACCTTTGAACGGCGAAAGCATACGTCTTGAACGCGGATCTTGCGTTCTCAAGCGTGCCGGGTCTCTTCCGCGGAATGCGGCGCTAAATTGATGCGTGCTACCATTCGACGAGCCGTACTTTGCTGCCAAGGATACAACAATTGTCCTACCCAATCGCCACAGCTCTGCGCGCGTACGCTGGGGCAAAGTCGGCCCGAAAGTCCGCGTTGCCACACCATCTTTCGGGTACGCGCAAAGTGACGCCTACATGCGTCCACATGTCGCCTTCGGCAGTCCAACCAATGACGGTGGAGGGATCTACGGCTCGTCGACACACTCATGACTGGTGCAGTTGGCGTTTTCTAGCGTGCGCATACCAGTCATGAAGTTTTCGGCACGTTTGTACGCTTCTCAAGCTCAAGTCATACCCCAAGCCTCGACGATCTCGTGGGCAGTGTGTTGTTCTTTCAGCACGTTCTTCACATAAGACAGAGGACACCCGCGGACCACAGGTCACGGCCCGACTCATTCGCGTGATGGCGCTTAATTCTGACCCCAGACGGGACTCTGAGTACAAACGCTCTTGACAAGTTTGTCTAGAAGAGTTTTGCGCAGGATTCTGTCAGAGCAGAATCCGCCCATACAGCGCGGAGTACTCGCAATTAAGTTCGTCACAGCGGCACGTGATCGGCGGTCCGCGGGTGTCCTCTGTCTTACTACGGAAGCGCAACTAAGACAGCAATGCGACGTGATGGTAATTGAGCGCTACCTCGAACGCTACCGAGCTATCATACGTGTTTTGTGTCCACGAACCCCACCCCGCCCGTTGTGCGATCTTGTGGAAGACTAGAGGGAGAACACATCGAAGTCCTTCCGTACGATCTGGACCCCATACACGCCTTCCAAGCGCCGGATAGACTCGCGCACGATGTCTTCCCTAAGCTTCTTGCAGCTCGTCTCCGCGATGCGCCCCTGCTTCACGAGCGCAATCTCCTCTTCGACATGCAGGTAGATTGCCTCTATCGGCGTAGCCGTCTGCCGACGCGCCTCGAATACATTTTCAAGGGCGGGGAACCGCTCGGGAACAACGTGTAGCCCGTGGGATGTGAAGCACATCAATACCGTGCGAAGAACGAAGACGTTCGCGTCCGTATCGAGGACGCGGAGATTGGGGAGAACGGCCGTGTCTTCGAGGAAGCTGATGCCGTAGAGCGAGTTCAGCTGCGACACGCAGAGACGGAGTCGCTGGACGCCGGGGAAGAAGGCCAGATGTGCGCGCGCAAGCGAGATACCGGCATCTAGCACGGTCAACGCTCGGATCGTGGGCAATGGCAAGAGCGGAAGGATGATGGGCGCCTGTGCGTCGTGGAAGTGCACGGTGAAGTCGTTTGTGAGGGTAGCGTGGGGATGTTTGCTGCAGAGCAAGACACCGGGGATCGGACGCTCGGGATGGGCCTGTCTTGATAGCCCAAGGCTAGCAGTGACTCCGTTCCAGTTGGACTCGAAGTTCAAGTAGGCGGAGTGGAACATCGGCTTCACCGCGTAGGAACGCATGAAGGGGCCGAGCTCGTGCGCCAGAGCTTCGTGGACGAATGCGATCTTGGAACTAGAGCATGTCTCGGGGGTAACGGTGTTCGGAGATACGAGGGCTAGCCGGGTATGGGAGGGTACCCGAATGTGGCGCAGAATATGCGCGTGTGTTTCGAGAGGGCTATCCACGATCATCGACTTCATGCTGTTCAAGATGATCAGATCATCGGGCGTCGCAGAGCAGCGATGACTGCACGACAAGTTCGGGGTCCCGACGTGCAGCTCTTTTAGGCTGAGCTCCGAGAGGTAATGCATGCGACTGAGCGCGTTCAAGAGCTCTGGCATCAGAATGCCGGTTTTGGTGCTCTGCAAGATGAGGTTCAACGACGTGATATTGTTCAACGCGGAATGACCCCAGGGCGCATACGAGAGCTCTGGCAGATCTAGGCGCAGAGATCGAAGTAAAGGTGCGCGGTCTAGAAGATTGGCAAGGGGGCATGCAGAGATGCGACGATCCAGGGCGAGTGAGAACTCTTGGAGGGAATCCATGCGGACCGAAAAGGTCTGGTTGAAGACATCCATGGTCGGAGTGCGTAGCCACAAACAAGATATGCGCGCGTTGAAGAGCGTTAGAACAGCACGCAGCGGCTGATTGACCTGCTTCCACGCAGATGAGAAGTTGTTGTTGTCGATGTCCAGCGGTGCACTCTTGCTCCTCCGCACCATCTCGTTAAGCCAATGAGGACCAAGGAAGTTAGTCAGATTGGTCCATAGAGTCCCATTGTTAATCGCGACGTGTCTCCATCGGCGATTAACGAAGGTGACATTGACCCAACCGAAGGAACGGTTGTGAGCAGCGGTAAATGCGCCGCAGGACTTAGGCTGAGTCGGGCTGCGTTCACGATAAGTAACAGGGTCAATGGACCGAAGGAATGTAAATATCAAGGAGAGTGTTTCGTCAGGGATTATAGCAGTAGCATCCTTCGTGACCCGTGCCATCGACAGGGAGAACAGTATTACTGAGGTTGGGTGAAGATGGTGGCGAAAGACAAGTTCGCCTCGAGCCACAAAGCTCGACGCGCGCTCGTCTGACGGCGCCCGTGAGGTGCTGCGATCATGCATCTAGTGCCTATTCTCTATACAGTAGAAATCATGTTTGTTTTCGACGATCACAGCTTAATCAGCTACTACATGACCCACTCGTAAGCATGCGCGTCTTATACTTGCGCGTTCTTTCCTGACAAACTTGAGCGGCTGCTGCGTGAGTCTTGGCGTAGCCCTGCGTAGCCTAGGCTCAGCTACAGGTTGACGCTTGCAGTGTTCCTGTCTTCGCACCATCTCAGTGCACTGTCCTCATGCTCGTTGAGCGAGTACATCGCTGAGACGCTCCAGCGTTTGCGGCCTCTCCTGGCCGACTTGTCTACGGCAGCATTGCCTACAGTTGTAGGACTACGGCATAGACCTCCCGATGCGCGGACCTCGAGGCCTTGCAACCGCTCTATCCAATGTCCACCAATAGATTAAGGATTGAGATTGAGTGCGAAAATAAGGACTGAATGGTAGCTACATCGATATCGATGCTCTTGGCGCCATGCGCAGGCGTCGCGCGGTCCAACGTCGCGATATCCTTCACGACTATGTCAGGCGAGAAGAAGATCGTACAGTCTTGCCTGAATGCGGATGCTATACTGCGAACGCGTCGAACACGCTAGAGACGATTTCCACCCCTTCTATAGCCTTGAGGCTCTCAATCATCCCTCTCATCACAGAGTTCCCCGTTGCTTCAATTCCTGCGATCGTCTCGGCGATGTGCAGGTAGATCCCTTGCAAGGGGGACCCCATTTCTCGTCGTGCTCGGAGTATCCTTTCGAGCAAAGGGTACGTGGTAACCGTACCCGCTGCGCCTTCAGCGAACTGGGAGATCACGGTATAGAAGTCGAGATAGTCGCTGGGCATGTCGACGATGCGGAGGTTCGGGAATAGGGTGGGGTCTTCGAGATATTGTAGGCCATGCGGTGAGAAGACATGTGTGTCGGTCAAAGTCAAGAAGCGAACGTCGCCTAGAGGAAGGCATTTGAGGATATCGGATGCTTTCGCATCGTGCACTTGCACCGAGAAGTCGTTGATGCCGTACACCCCGTGTGGGTCTTCGACCTGGACCTCATGCGAGGATACAACCTCGGCCCTCCGAGCTTGAACGGCTCGGCCGAGTCCCAGGGAGAGCGCAGTGTTACCAGGCCCGTCCGGTACGTCGTCGTCGATAGTCTCGAAGAACAAGCAGGCAGATGAATACGCGGGAGGCTCAGCATATGCGCGTATAAAGCTGCCCAGCTCATGTCCCAGAGCTTTGTACGTGCGCGACGCCTCAGGGGGGTTAGGTATAAGGCCGTTGGCACCAAAGTTCAGACGCGTGTGAGAAGGGAAGCGAATGTGACGTAGTAGATGGGTATGCGTCTCGAGAGAGCTGGTGATGACCACAGAGGACATGTTGCGTAAATGAATGAGGTCTCCAGGTGTGCCGGAACAATGATGGTCACAAGAGATTTGGATGCTGGGGGATGATTCATGGATGGCTAGATGGGTGAGCGCTGTCATTCGGCGCAGTGCATTGAGGAAGGCGGGGGTAATTGCGCTTGATGCTTCGGAACTCAACGCGAGGTCCACATGTGTAAGCGTGACGAGGCAAGTGGCCTGCCAGTCGAGTGCAGCGTACGATACAAAAGGAAGACGCAATGTGAGGCGGCGTAGGCGAGGAGTGTGCTCGAGAAAAGATGTCAAGGGCTCGGAACCGTTGATATCGTAGTGCGCGGAGAGTCTGACATCCTCGAGGTTCCCGAACATTTTTGTGAGCAGTCCATCTAGGATGGCTAAACTGCCTGGCGACCACGCATGAAGGCGTAGCTTCGCAAGTCTCGCATGATGTGCAGCTACCAGCCCTTCGACCGGCAGCTCGTTTTCATCGCTGGGAGGAGGGAAGAACCGTGCGTCGAGGGATAGCGGGGCGCTCTTGCTACGGTTGACAAACTCGTTGACCCAGTCCCACCCAAGTTCGCCATTCAAGCGCGTCCATAACATAGCATCGTCGATTGCTACTTGACGCCAGCGCCGATTGACAAACGTGATCTTGATCCATCCCAGAACCTCCTCCCCCGATGTCCGTGCGCGATCTCCCTCTGACAACATGATGATGAATGGTCTGTGAGCTCCAGGCTCGTTGACCTGGACAAGGGCAAATATGTAGCAGAGCGTCTCATCGGGTATGATGAGAGTGTAGTCCATAGCGGAGGGAGCAATCCTGTCGCCTTTCTGGTCACGATGGTGGTGGTAATTGGCGGACCCTACGAAAGCCAGCTCATCGCCATCGATCTTTATCGTGCAGTTTGCCGTGATCACTACTCTGGCTGGCTGCTGTCTTCTCTCTGAGCGCTATGTGTATACTGATGTATCAAGCTTGTTCCATTCCTCAGCAGGGTGAGGAATAACTCTCTGATGAAGCAGGCTCAGCTCCACGTACAGTATCTCTGCAAAGAGGCCGCTTCCAACATGAGCGTCAGCGGTCAAGAGCTCAAAATCCGGGGGAAATGGAGTGCACACGTGGGGTTAGGATCAAACGCGTGTTCCGGCTTCGAAGTTTCGTGTCGCCACTCTCGCTGCGCCCCAACGCGCGCGTGGATCCGGAGCAGCCTCTTTCCTCAGACCATCATCCGTTCCTCAATGCCCTGCAGGCGATGAGCAGCACGACGCTCTGGTTACCCTCCCGCTTACTCGGCTTTGTCAACGTTCTATATCTCTCCTCATTTGCGAATTTATTCAATCATCCCAAGCCGGCTCGCAAGGCGGGGAACTGTCCACTTCGATGGCTGAACGAGACGGGACTCGAGCGTTGGGCGCGTGAAATGGATCCTGCACCATCGTTAATGGTGGGAGAAACCAATAGACAGCTACAACGTGACCACGTAGACTACCTCGGTAAGCGCGTCCACGGGCATTCACAGTGTCAATATATCGATCTCTATGGTGTAGGGATCGCTATACCATGGCCGCGTCTAAACTGGCCATTCGAACTGTTTCAGGTCTCGCCACGTCGTAGACGCCCTGAACTGGAATCTACACCGCCAAATGACTATGATCCTTCGCACTTGCCTACGCCATCTCCCGACCAACGGCAACCCACACCTCCGCCTCCCAAAGAGGAGAAGAAGAAGCTGCCAGCACCACCTCGCGAACGAGATGGCACTATTCACAAGCTTATGCAGAATCCGGCCCTCAGAGATCCATTACGGGCACCCAGATATCCCATCGTGTTATGTCACGGTAAGCGCCGCTCCATCACTCGTTGGGGCAACTCGTTGACGTCTTCCAGGCTTGTATGGATTTGATGTCCGAGGACCGAGCGCTATACCTGCTCTTCGCATGCACTACTGGTCAGACGTACGGAATATTCTGCGTAAGACCGTAGGCGCAGATCTCATCATCGGCTCTGTACCAGGGTGAGTTTCTCCCTACTCCACAGAGTCTGTGGTCGTCTCAATGTGGTGTAATGTTATGACTTTATATCTGACGTCTTTTCCAGAACCGGTTCCATAGCCTCTCGAGCAGCAGAGCTCGACCGGTTCTTACAAACACGCGCACGCGGACGTGGAGTCAACTTGCTTGGCCACAGCATGGGCGGCCTTGATGGTCGGCATCTTATCACCCACATCCGTCCGCGCGAGTACGCTCCGCTTTCTTTAACAACGTATGTACGCTTCGCGAATACGCCACTGTCTACAAACCTGACATTCGGTCATAGCGTTGGTACACCACATCGAGGCAGCCCATTCATGGACTGGTGTCAGGATTACCTCGGCATAGGTCGCGTTAAGGACGAGGCTCTGCCGGCAAAAGCGCCGCCCAAGACCGCAGAATGGGATGAAGTTGAAGATTTGCCGCCATGGCCCACAGAACACGACCACGTACCAGCCAACTCATACACGTCTGGCCCATCCGCTTCGTGGTTCTCTGTACCTTCGTCGTCCTCTTCGCCCTCACTCTCCGACCCTCAGCCGCGTGCTTCGCCGAAGCAACCTTCGACCGCGTCCAAGTCCGCTTTGGCCTCGCTCAGCTTATCCAGTCTCCCGAGCTCGCTCACAATGCTCTTGCTCGGGATGTTCGACAGCCCGGCATATGGCAACCTCAGCACGGATTACCTCGAACACGTCTACAATCCGCGAACACCAAACGATCCACGCGTACGCTACTTCTCAGTAGGCGGGCGTGCTCCGCGGCTGAATGTCTGGCATCCGCTCTGGCTGCCGAAGTTGGTCGTCGACGGATGGGAAGAGCGAGAACGAGAACGCGCGCCTGATGGTGGTGATTTGAGCGGGTGGGGCAACGACGGCTTGGTCACAGTACGCTCTGCGCGCTGGGGAGAGTACCTCGGGACGTTGCACGACGCGGATCACTGGCGTTTGCGCGGTGCCGGCGGCTTCGAGCTTGGCGAGCATCTCAGCATGCCGTCATTGGGCATTGTGTCAAACCAGTTCTCCTGGCTGGCGCGGGCGTTCGGGCGTGAAGCACAAGAGGATGAGAGGGCGGCCCGGGAGAAGGAGAGTGAAGCGGCGCGGGAGCAGGCATTGGGAGATGAGGGGAAGGCGCAGGAGGAACAGCAGACTGCGGATGCGCTCAGGCGGAGCACGGAGCGTTTGAGCGAGGTTGTGGATTGGATCGTCGATAGCGTGCCTACGGAGAAGATCCCGACGCTGTCGTTCACGAAGGATGCTGTTGAGAAGGAGCAGGCTGAGGTCGAGAGGGAGAAGAGGGAGAAAGAGGAGAAGGTGCGAGAGAAGGGCGATCTGGAGACGGATGAGGATCTTGAGCAGTTCTATGTTGCGTTGGCAAGAAAGTTGTACGACGAGGGGTTATAGTGCGGATGACACTCTTTGTATCATATCTTCGTTTCTTGCGTGTACAGTGCTTTCGCTGGTAAATGTGCCGTCGACCGGCACCTGAGCACGACCTTAACATGACCTCTGCATCCCATTTGGTATGGTTTTGACGCCCGGAGGACGATGAGGACGACTTTTCGGTTGCTCTCGCCACTACTCATGCGTCCTTTGAATGGCGACTGCAGGCTTACAAAGTTCAGAGAACGGAATCCAGTGGGATGCAGTCCCGAGGTAATCCGGTGCGCCGTCCATCCAGTTTGAGCGGCGGTATTTCAACTGATCCTTTGCGTCTGTTGCTAGGGCACACTCCCACATTCATCTAAGCCCAATATCCCTGTCACGGGAGGCGCTTCCAACGTCCACCATCATCTCGGCGCACGCTGCTGCAAACAGTACAAGTGGCGGTCTACGAATGGAGACACGACGGACACAACGGGATGACCGAAAATGGCGAACATGACAAGCCCATCAGACGTGCAAGGGTGCAAGGCCGGGCGCTAGTCTTCAAACCGATCTTCGCGGTGTCTGTATACTCTACACCAAAGCTTCCCCAGATAGGGTGAACCTTCCAGGTCAGGCGTAGAAAGGAAGCCAGGTGGAAGATTTGGTCTACGCCGCCCGTCGCTACTTACGCCGCCTGTTCCAAGCGCGATCCCGCCAGTGATTCAAGAACGAGCTTGCACTCTTGCTTCCTGGGTCTCCTCTTGCGTTTGCTCGGTTCTACTGCCCGCCATGGTCGACACCAATGTAGTGTTCTCCGCGGTATCTTTCATAACTTTCGTGTTATGCATGGTACCATTATACTGGCATGCGCAGTGTGCGTAGACAAACTTCCTTACAACAAACTGATCGCTGACTGCGGTGTTCAGCAAGAAACATCGGAACCTGCATGTTCATCCTATGGTCGGGCTTTGGAACGCTGGTCTGGGGTATCAACTCGATCATCTGGCACAACAATGTGGAGAACTGGGCACCCGTCTGGTGCGATATAGCGACCAAGTTCATCGTTGGGACATCGGTTGGTATCCCTTACTCCGCCATGGCAATCAACCGCCGCCTATACAATATCTCCTCGATCCGGGCGGTCCTGATCACCCGCTCAGAGAGGCGCCGGGAGGCGGCTATCGACTTCAGTCTCTGTCTCGGGCTGCCTGTCTTGGTTATGATCCTCCGTGCGTCTTTCGCAATGTACGCGGAATCTATCTGATGGGTATGCTTTGACAGACTATACGGTGCAAGGCCACCGCTTTGACATCTACGAGGACGTTGGTTGTGAGCCTGTGACTTACAACACTCCTGCGGCATTCGTTCTTGTGTACATGTGGCCTCTCCTCTCAAGTGTTTTGGGAGCATTCTACTGCGGTACGCATGAGCTCATACCTTCCGAGGCGCGTTTGGTGAATCTCACGGGACATCAGTCATGACGATCTGGAACTTCCAGAAGCGTGGTCGCCAGCTTCGCGAGGTCTTATCGACGCATTCGAACCTCAATACATCGCGCTACATCCGCCTTATGGCGCTCGCGTCTATCAATCTCTTCGCGAACTTGCCTCTGACTATCTACATCATCTGGCGCAACGCGACACAGTATACGATGCACCCGTACATCTCCTGGTATAATGTCCACGTTGGCTTCAGCAAGGTCAACCAATACCCACGAATTCTCTGGGGTGGCAACCCGGAACTGGTTTCCGGCTTCGAGATGCAACGCTGGTTGTCGGTATCCTGCTCCATTGTTTTTGTGCTCTTCTTCGGCTTTGCCGATGAGGCACGCAAACACTACTCGAAGGCGTATACATCAGTCGCCAGTCGTCTCGGACTCACCGTCGTCACAGAGAGCTCTTTTGCCGACTCACGGTATGCACGCCTTGCTATCGGTACAGCGACAGTGGTCTAACGCGATCCTCAGATTCGAGTCCAAGGGCGCCGCTATTCATGTTTCGACGAGCGGGCCAGCGATCAGGCGTTACTCGTTCATGTCCGGTCTATCCAGCGATGGGTCACTGGGCGAATACAATGCATCTTCGTCAATCAGGGAGGATTCCGAGAAAGCAGACCCTCGTGGGGAAGGTGATTCAATCGAATCCTCGCCATTAGACGCCATGCCTTCGTCATCGAGCGCTCAGCTCCCGCATCTCCCTCAACAGCCCGAAAATGCCCATATTCGTCCGCAATATGACGTCTCTTCCGGTGATGACCATACCTCTGGCGCGCATGCCGTATAGCGAGACTGTTCAGAGTATTGACTGCAGGCTCGACGCCCGTCTCTTCTCATTGTGCTAGCTTTTCAATCTGTATCATCACCCATCCTTGTAATCACTACTTTCACTAAGCGCTTCCTCCTCGTACTCACTTCATGTCTGATACTATACTTTCACTAATTTGAGATACTTTGACTCGCATTGTCTCTGCAGTCGGCATATATCCTTACTTCTGCCATGTCTCGCCATGTAGTAATATATCATCTTTTGCTCATGAGTCAATCCTGACTTTTTTTTGGTCTGTTTGCACGTGGGACTACTTGCCAATTATGAAATGGTGATCTGTATTAGACCTCCAGAACCGTCTCGACGAGTTCGGCTTCGGGGTCGAGGTTGGCGACGTGTTTTAGTGTGTCAACTCATGTGACCGCGGGTGGACGCGCTCGATGAAGCGCATCAGGCACTGCTGTTCTATTGTTAATAGTATGTATGACTATGATTGTACAGTGAAAGGCCATGCCCGAGACTGTATCTGCGCACATATGTGCGTGGGTTTGAAGCACGAACGAACATGTCGCTCTTTCTGCGTCACGGTAACGGGATCCTCTCCCTGGCCCACGCCACGGTCGTCGCGGTTCCGTTAATTCGTGCATCGAGTTGTGGAAGCTGCCAGCTGGTGTCACCATTCGACGGCGGGGAGATGGAGAGAACGGCTAGCGAAAGATAGGTGTGGTAGGGGTCTGCCATTTCGCCTGGTGCCTTTCCAATACCGCCATATACATGTTGACAACTTGCGAGATAGCTTGCGAGCTGTTCGGCGTCCAATGTTTCCACCCTTGCATCCAGGATCTGAGCCTCAGCATAAGCCGTACAGCTCGAGAAAGGCATGAATGACCTGAACGTACATCCAGAGCGGCGACCTGCCAGAAACAGTAGCATGCATCAGATATCTTCCCAATGCGGCCTGAGAACCCGCCATCGGACTGTTGCGTTTGCATAAGCCATCGTATAGTCTGACTGCGCTCCCTCCCACCCAGAGGCACTCTCAGTAGATCAAGAGCAGCGATGGCACAGTACGACGTGCCGCCCAAAGCTTCACCACCTGGAGTTTGAGCGTATCCACCTTCGTATGTTCGACAGTTGCGCACAAATTCGATGGCAGCGGAAGTGTTGATGCAACTCCAGTCCTCGAGTAAGCTGCAGATGACGCATGCACAGTAGAGCATGCGCAGATCCGCATCAGCATACGGGTAGGCAGTGAGTGGCTGCGTCGAGAACCTGTTCATGATGAGTGAGCTACCTATTCTCCATCTCAGCGGTACACGAACTCACCCGCCATCTGAGCCCTGGCACAGACCCACGAACTGTTTCAATCCTTGTCGATCCAATCGCGCATACTCCGCGCGGAGTACAGCTAGACTCAAGAGAGCGCAATACGTCATGATGAGGTGACCTGGCGCAGTATCTGAGTCTAGTTCTGGCTTTGAGGTCGAAGCGGTGCCGACGTCATTGGCAGGGATATCATTGGCGAATTCTCCAAGTCTATCGCCAGTCGTCGTCGAAAAGGGGCCGGGTCGAAAGCCGCCGCCAGCTGGATGTACGCCGTTCAGCGTCGACGTTCGATGTTCAGCGACCATGTCGTGACCACGCACGAGCCTGCTGCTCCCATATCCATGCAATCCATGCCTCGCGATCGGCTTTTGAGACGCGTGTTTCCCTTGCGCCTAGCACGTCTAAGGATGAAAGGCAATAGAAGCCAAGCGCCATCCTATATACGGATTCATTGAGCATCAGTGTGGTCGTTACGTTTGAGAAGAGAAGTGTGATGCTACAAGCACATGTATCGCATTCGGTGGGCAGAGGAGCCAGAATGCTGTTGCGAGGAGAGCTATGATGGGACTAGAAGTCATACGCACCGCGAGGCATCTACATCCAGAAACCTGTCCGGCAGACCAGCCAGACACCTATTGCTTTGCGCAATGTGCCGCTTGAGAGCAAGAGGAGGCAGCGACATTGGACGTTCCTCCATAGCCTCGCCCTTGCCAGTTACGCTCGAAGACGATCCAGCTCGTAAAGCTGAGTCTGAAGGAAAGTCGAATGGACCAGGCGTAGAATCGGAAGCCATGCTTGCAGGGAGTAGTGCGAAGACTGTCTCGAAGTGTCTTGAGAGGTGGCCTTCAAGGACGTGTACAGTGATGCAGGACTGAGCAAGACTCGAGGTGAACGTGCGGTGCAGGTAGCGATTTCGCCGCGTCTCGAGAGCTTAGGGGCTTCGGCTAACGGCCCGAAATCCTCACGCGCGAAGAAACGCAACGGCGCGGCAGTCAACGCTTCAAGTTGACCTTGCTCTGACCTCTGACTTTATATCTAGGAACACTCAGGCAACTACCTATACATTAATCCCGTGCTCTACTATACAACATCTCGTAGTACAACATCCCTTGAAATAGGTTAAGGTGAATAAGGTAAGTACTACCGGCTACACGATTGCAGGGTCAACCACAGAAGGGGCGACTTTTGTAAGAGGGTGCTTTGATACTTCCCTTGTTCCTCCGAACATGCTCACATCCGTTTCAGAAGGGTATGAGATGTCATGTTCAGAGCGCTCGACAGCAACGTCGAAGCTGACGACTACTGCCTGAAGCGATGGATCTCGAGGTGTCGGCGCGTTGTATGCAAAATGATGGTCGGATCGCGTTTTGTCAAGCGCGACCAGGATCAAGATGATCATCGGATATATGACCTGTGATGCGCTCAATGTGTTGTCCGATGAGCTCAATCAAGGTTTCGTACCGTAAGTTGCGGTACAGATGATTGAATGAAGCCCTCGGCCGGCGGTGTCCAGTGGCTTGAGAAGGCGAGCTGATAACCATCCGGAGCGGACAGTTTAGGTACGAGTATAGTCGTGCTATAGAAGACCTGAATTTGGGGATCAGCCGATACTGGTAAACTGGACGGCAATTTCACTCAACCCATATGCCAATGTAGAGTGCACCCGACTCTACAAGAAGCACCAGAACACGCTCTGCCACTGTTCGGCGCTTGTGACCGACAATGTTGCTCATAACGAGTCGCCTGTGCTGCCTGTCGCTCCGGGTATCAGTAGATTGACGGAGTAGCGTGTCATAGACCGCGCACCAAGTTTTTATCCCGATAAGAGCAGTGGCGAGGACATTGGAAGACAGCGACGTAAACAAAGCCGCAAGTCCGAAGGCATTCGCGCCGAAAGAAAGCTCTAGGCTGTCCCGTGAGGTACTCAATGCTCGGACCCAGTCAGGAGACGTGAATATGGCTTGTTCCACAAATATGTTTCCAATACATAGGACTGGTGTTAAGTCAGAATGAGTTGCAGTCAACTGATCTATGCATGCGGCTCACCTGTAGTAGCGAGCACAAAAACAGCAGACACTACCAGGAGTATCCGGCGCTTACTCCAAACGACCCACATGCGCCAAAAGACGACGACGTCGCTCAAGATCACCTGGGTCAACATCGGCATCAGCATCAGAGATCTGCACATGCGAAGAGATTTTGAGCTCACGTTGAGCGAGAAGAACGTCGAAGAGAGGGTTACGTCGACTCGTAACGACATGGGTGAGCTGGGAGAAGCGGACAGGAAGTTCCCATCGGAGGCGGCATATGATATTTGCCTAGCCGTGAAGACTGTCCCGACGATCCAGTAACCCATTGCCGATAGGTACATCGCTACACAAAGCGTGGGGATGGTCACCCCCACGAGTCCCAGACCTGACTGCCGCTGACTGCACACGGCTATCAGCCTCTCTGGGAATCACGGACAAGTGAATACACGCACAGATGGACGACATAGACCATCAGGAACGTCAAGGTTGTTGATACGCCTTGCATTAAGATCAGTCAAGAAGTACGGGATGCTTTTGAACGCGTTGCAGACATACCAAGGAGAGTCGTCTGCATTGTGTGCACAGGTATATTGATAGAGACTTCTCGATATGTCAGGTATCGTACAAGACTGATGCTGTTGATACCAGGGTCACTGATCTGGCCGGGCGGCAAGAATAGTCTGAAGACTGATGAGTTACCGTACAAGTGGAGCGAACATCGGCATCAGACACACCCTCCGTTGCTGATCAGGGCAAACTGTGCCTGAAGATCCGTCACCCAGATACAAAGCAGTGCTACCACGAGCAAGCCCGTGGCACTGAGAACAATCGTCGCCCGTCGACGCCTCTTCGGGTCTTGAATATGGGTCCTGTTTGTCCTGTGGATATAGACGTCTTCGACACATGGAACAAGTATAACATACCAGGACCACGCGATCCCGACTAATGTGATACTGAGAAAGACACCTAGGAAGGTGAGCGTGAGTTTCGGGCTCGCATTGAACCTTCTTGACGTACCCATGAAAAAGCTCATCGCGAGCATAGTGCGGTAGAATGAGGCGTAGTAGAAGTCACTGAGTGCATTGTCCACATCCAGAATCTGACTTGTGTTGAGAGAGCGCATCGAATCGCCCGGGTGCATCGCGATGGCGGGTCAAAAGAACTGTAGAACTGCTCAAAGCGGGGAACACCTTCATATGCGTGTCGAGAACCGGAATGATCACACCGGATGAGGAAGGGCGGTGTGCGCGCACCGCCGGCGCATATTCAACTCGTCATTGAGAAGTGGGGCTCAGCCCATAGACCATAGGTAAAAGGGCTTCTGCGCATCGTACTCAATTGCACAGGTTTGGGGGACCGTCGCGGCTTGCGCACTGTTGAATATTGGACGCCCGCCGGCAATTGCGAGCGGTCTCAGGCAGATCTCCATATGGCTAAGTCAGTTTGATACCGCTGCACTTTCCGTCAGATGACATGTTGCTGGTTTGAACACTAGGGCGCATGGCCACGAACATGTTCGAGGGCTTATTGCTGGGCTGGTCGCTCCAGTGCATCACGGGGCTGTGCCGGCGCTTCAATTCGCCGTTCGTACGGAGCCCATCGGTTCCGAGACAGCACTAGTCGGTTGCGCCGTCGATATTATTTACTTCGTAGACGACGCATGCGCCTTCTAACTGGTTGTTGTGGCTCACGGCGCCATTCGGACGACGCGGAACTGCGTGTAGCCGTCGAGCGAGCGCCGGAGGGTAGAAATGAAGATGTGTCATAGTACTCAGGAAATTGCTGTAGCGATGCTGGCGCAGGTTGATAGCGTATGCGCATGTCAGGAAGTAAAGGTGGAAGGTGGTAGAACGGCCGCTCAGTCGGGGCGTTGAGCTGGTGGCCGGAGTTGAAGTTAGTTCAAGCCGGCGATGGACCAATCCACTCGGATAAAGAACTCAGATATCGGGCGGAAGATACTCATGGTGAGTGAGAGCATAACAAGAGGATGGTAGGCACACGCCGGTAGTTCATGACATGAGGAGCTGAAAGAGCAGCCAAGGACCAATGGCTGGTATCCGGAAGGTGCCGAAGACTATTACCCACGTTCTGCTGCCGGCGACGCGGCGATGCGCGCCCTCAACGTTCAACCACCAAACCACAAAGACATCAGAATATAATCCGTGCATTTATGGTCGTAGTCGCGCTCTCAGGATCATGCTGCTCCTCCCCATCCGACTTCCTGAGACCCGCACTCTTAGCGACCCGCCGCCACTGCCATGCCACCTGCGTCGCCGCTATCCTTCTCCCAGCATCACCGTCATGTGGATGACCTCCCAGCCGAGGTCCTAGCGGTCGTGTTTGAACTGAAGCTCTACGAGGACGACTTCCTTCTCATGGGAAGCAGTATAGCCAGACGGGGCCCTCCTCGCCCGGTCATCGATATCTCCCACGTCTCCCGTCGCTGGCGAAGCGTGGCGATCTCTTGCCAAAGGCTCTGGTCGACGGCTTTGCCTTGCGGCAGTCTTCAATGGACCACCCTCTGCCTCACCCGCTGCTCAACTGCATCTTTTGAGCTTGCGGTGAGCGGTTTGGATCTCGTCGCCAGCGGAGAGTATAGATCCGCATATGAGCTGGTTCTTCCGCACCTGTCGCGTGCCAGAGCTGTTGTATTTGACCTGGACACCGAAGCCTATCCGGGCCAGTATTCACTCAATGATTTATCGTCGAATGCTCTGCGGGCGTTATTTGATAAACTGTCCACTACTCAGATGCCTCAAGCCCGGACGCTCGAGGTTTTCCACTCGATGGAATCCAAGGCACTCGAGGACATACCGAAGTTAGAACTCGCGAAGACGATGTCGGCTTTAACGGACGTCTGGCTCACCGGGATCGTCTACAGGCCATCTGGTGGCAGGCCGATTTTCCCTACGGGGCTAAGATCCCTATATCTATCGGACAGTCAGTGCTGGTGGACGGTAGATGAGATGATCGACGCTCTCGGAACAGTGCCAATGTTGGAATACTTCGCGTGCTCAATCGAGCCGTGGACGTACAAACACAAAGTGGCTCCCGTTCTATCCCGTGTTCATCATCGCCGCTGTGTCCAGTTGAAAAGGCTCCGACACTTTACCTCCTCCTGCGGCTCTTTCATACAAAGCATGCTCCTCTTTCAGTATATATCTTTTCCTTCGGATGCCGATTTACGCATCTTGTTTTCGCGCACCCCCGAGGACGAAGCCGCGCAAATCCGGGCCCACCCTCGCTTGGTGGGAGAGCTCCTATCGTCAAGTGGAGATCTCGCTCGTGCCCATTTTGCTCCTGCAATCGATCGAGGCGCATTCTACCCATCTCTCGTTCTGGAGGAGGAGTGCATCAAGGTCTGGCAGTGCCATGATTGCGGCACTCATTCCGCTCCGATCCTCCCGGACTCATCCATGGCCACAGATGTCCTACCTCGCAATATCGAACTGGGTCTCTTACAAATCACCCATGAGGAGGCTCAGAATAGCTGGTATCGCCACCCTGTCAATCCACTGTCGCCTGTTTACAATCGAAGCCGCATCCTCACAGTGTGGGCGTCACTACCCATCCTAGCCCGTACCCGGGTTCTTCACTTTCAACCTTCCTTCGTGTTCGACGCCCACTCACTCAAATTCTTGGCACGCTTCACGGATGTCGTTGAGTTACACTTCACATCCTGGCCGCTATTCGTTGAGCGCTTTCACGAGCTGTTGAAGCACGCAAACTTTTACTCGTATCGTTCGCGCATCCCGAATGCACCGAACTTGTTTCCCTCCCTTAGTACTATTCACGTCCAGTGCGGCCCGGACTTCGTCGCGCTGGGCCTAACGCGGACAGACTTCGATGTTGATCTCCCGCAGTTGATTCGGCTTGCAGATGAGCTCCTCTTACGATGGCGGGGCTCATTGCGGCACGTCGTCTTGCACAATTCACAAGCACTTTCGAACGGAGCCACCGCAATCTCCCTGCTCAATAGCATCCTTGGAGGAGAACGTGTCATTTGTCTCCATGAGGATCTGTCGTGCTCTAAGCCCAGTGATAGGCGCCCCGACGATAATGAGCAAAATAGCAAGGCAGAAAACGACGATGGTGGTGACAGCGAAGGAGCAGAAACAGAAGGCGACGAGTTCGGCGGTGGCCGCGTCGACGATAGCGGTGCTGAGGACGCCGACATACCCGAAAGCTCGAGGGTATTAGAGTATGAGGATGTTATGAATAGAGTACTTGGAGAAGACGACAATGATAAGACACATGTTCATTAGATACTGTATCTTCAGCACAATTAGATCGCGGCCTATTATCGCGGCTCTACTTCGTTTCCAATAGAACCCTCCGAATGCCCTTCCGCGAACAGGTAGAAAGAACTTTCGGGATGACACTTTTGGAATAAAGCGTTACCTCTTATGCACAGAAATATACTGGTATGAAGTTCAACCGTAGGTTTCCCGAACCCCGAGCCAATCGAAGGCGCACGCCGCGCGGGAGGGATCCGGAGAGAGGATGCCTGGGCCCCAAGGTGCTCACCGCGTTGACGCCGCCGCGTACGATCCAGATCGACGCGCTCACGCTCACATACCTTGACTGAGTAACTAGTGCTTCTATAATCTATTGGGAGCAACGGGGCATGGACATCGCTCAGCGCATAGGAAAGGCCAAGGAAAGGCCATTGTGACCGACGCGTTACCAAGCGCGAGAGTCACTGTCACCAGTCACTTGTCAGGACCTGCGCGCCCCGGTTCCCGAACCGCCATCATCTCATTCGATTGACAGTGCCCAGCAATCACGCTGAGACGAGTTTTGCTCTTCGGATACTACCAAGCTGCGCCCGACGGTCTTCGCTGATTCCCTGTGTCCTGTTTAACTGGTCAGCTCTGCCACGGATCCGGATTTCGGTCTCGCGCATCCATACGACCATTCCGACCACGCAGGTATACACTAGAGGCACAGTTGCCGAAGGAGTATAGATGCATTTACGGCTCTAAACCTGGCCTACTATCGCTATGGTATCCTCATCTGTTGCTTGCACAGCGGCTAGAGTTGCGCAGCTTCAATGCGCATGTGCGTAACAACAATTCCCTTCATCAATTGCATGAGGTCTTGCTGACAGAAGACTTACTCGTTAGATGCGCGTCAGCTGCTTAGGCTCTTGCTCGCCGTCGTATTTCCCGAAGCCTGGTCGTGCATCCCTTCGGCGATATGTCGTGCTCCAAGTGTATTCGTGATGGCACACCCATCACCTCACGCACTATAAAGAGAGAACTCACGGACAATCGATATTGCTCAGCGTCTCTACCACCATGGCCTCTTTCCGCCGCTCGCCCGTGCTCTCCCTGGCCCTATTGGGTGCCCGTATCGCGTCGTCTGTCGCAACGCAAGTCTCCTCCGGCCCGACCGTTCTGCTGGACAATGGCACCTTCGTAGGTGTATCCGAAGGGCATGTATCTGCCTTTAGAGGAGTGCCGTTTGCCAAACCACCGTGCGTATGGAGAGCTTTCCACGCTATCATGGCTGACCATCACCAACAGTGTCGGCGATCTGCGCTTTCGACTTCCTGTCGCCACTGACCCATATGATGGCACCTACAACGCGACGGCCTTCGGAGACTCTTGCATTCAGCAAGCTTTCGGCGACACTGACCCCTCCAAGCAGAATCCAACAGCTGTTGAGATCATGCAGGGCATCGTTGACGCGTTCACGGTTCAGACTCTGGATAGCGAAGACTGTGAGCTCTTGGCGTGCATAGCATTCGAACCTCTGACTGACTTGGTTAGGTCTCACTGTCAACATTTATACGCCCGCGAACGCGACGCCAGACTCAAGGCTTCCTGTTGTCTATGTGCGTCCATGCATACCTCCCAACTGGTGTACCTACTGACAAAGTCTCAGTGGATATATGGTGGTACGTAGAAGCATTCACGCAATAGAGTGATACAGATGCTGCTTCGTCAGGCGCGTTTGAAGGTGGATCCGCGGTCGCGAGCAACGGGTCTATTATCGTGGAGAGGTCCCTAGAACTTGACGAGCCTGTCGTCTACGTCTCGGTGAACTACAGGTAAGCGTCTTCACCCGCTCTTACTGCTTCGATGCTGAAGGATACACCAGAGTTTCTGGTCAGTGCTCGAGCTGATCTCACCACCCCTTTCCCTTATCACCCTCATGTAGCATTGGGGTTCGCGGGAAGCAAGGAAGTGCGCGAGGAGGGTATCGGTAACCTTGGGTTGCACGATCGTAAGCACCTTGTTCATTGCGTACTGCGCACGACTGACGTATGCCTACCTAGAACGCTTGGGTCTGCACTGGGTGCAGAAGTACATCTCGTCCTTCGGCGGTGATCCTGAAAAGGTGACGATGTAAGTATGCTATCATGCTATCTGCTTCATCTGGCTGATCGAAGTCTCGCGACCAGATGGGGTCAAAGCGCTGGGGGTATGTCCGTCGGTATGCATCTGGTAGCGTACAAGGGCAACAGCTCCGGTCTCTTCCGCGGCGCATTCATGCAGTCGGGCGGACCTATAGACACCGGTGCGCTGGAGGATGGTACGTCCTGCAAACCGCTCACTCCGACTGTCAAACTGATCACACGGAAACACAGGCCAACCTTTCTTCGACAAGTTCGCTCGCGACGCTGGCTGCGCAGACACACTGGGATCAGTAGCCGTGTTCGACTGTCTCCGTAACGCGTCCACCGCAAACATTCGTGCGGCAATGAGTCAAGCGCCGCGCAATCTCTTCGACTATACGGCTGCGTCGTTGGCGTGGAAGCCCCGCGAGGATGGCGTGTTCTTGACGGATACTCCGCAGAGGCTGGTACGCGATGGCGCTGTAGTGGATGTGCCGATTGTGACGAGTAAGTCGAGCCGGTGGGTGTCTAGTGCAGAGATGGAGCGTCTGAACGCGGGGCTACAGGTAACTGCGATGACGAAGGGACTATTACTTCTCTCAGCAACACCAACATCACGTACGCTCTACCCCATCTCTCCGCATTCACGAGTTCTCACATGATGATTCAGAACCGAGGACGAGCTGCGCCAGTACCTCAAACAGTTCTACTTCCCCACGGCGAACGACACCATCATCGACAACATCCTTTCCGCCTACCCCGACGACCCCGCTCTAGGCTCGCCATTCGATACTGGTCTCAACAATACGCTTACGCCGGAGTACAAGCGCATAGCGGCGATCTTGGGCGACTGGTTCTTCCAGTCTCCGCGCAGACTGTTGCTTTCGGAGCGCGCGGGGTTGAACTCTAGCGCGTTCTCGTATTGTACGTGGCTTGCATTCATGCGCACGTACGCCCGCTGATGCTATGGCTTACAGTGTACAAGAGGGGCAAGTCCACACCTTACAGCGGTGCCGTGCGTCCCGCCCGTCATTCATCGCACTCGACCTTGCTAACACTCACGCAGACCCACGGATCCGACCTCCCCGCGATCTACGGCCCGAGCGACCTCACAGACGCCCTCATCAACTTCGCCACGAACCTCGATCCGAACGGCAAGACGATCATCGACTGGCCGGCGTACACCCCCTCTTCACCTGCATTGCTGACGCTCAGCGATGGGAACGTCACGCAGAGCATCACGAAGGATACCTATCGTGTGGAGGGGATACGGGCGATTCTCAATGCGTCGTTTGTTGATCCTTACTAGTGAGATCATGGACCAGGGATGTATTGAGTTGGGATAAACGTAGTTACATGGGATGGTCACTGAAGACTTGAGTCAAGGACGTTACTCCTATTGGGCAGCTGCATACTACCTACTGTCCCTGCGCACACTTGTTTCATCTCCTGCCTGCCGCGCTACCAGTAACGATACAGACCACCTATTCAGAGTGAGTCAGCGCTTTGAGCGAAGAAAGTAAAGGGGTAGGATCTCCCGACACGTCTGTCCGCACCGCGCATACTTGACTACCCTCTACGCACAGACCAGAGCCGAATCGACCCTGACCTATTTGCACAGAAGGTATAATAGCATTGACTATGCTAGCTTTCAACGCTAGCGAGCAAATGCGACGCGACTCCGCCGTAAAGACTGTCCGACAAAAGTCCACTCACCACGCTCCGAGGGCGCCTTCGCCCGCCGTCTTGCACGTTCTTCAAGAATCGTCTTGCACCTGTTCGAGGGAATGAGCGTGCTTGTCAGATACAGATGATCATAGGATGAGGGCTCCCGACACGTCTGCCCGCACCGCACATGCTTGACTACCCGGGGTCGACGCCCCGCCAGAGCCGAATCGACCCTGGCTGGGTCCGCCGAGCGACTGGTATATGCTAGCATTGATCATGCATCCTAGCGAGCATGCGCGGTGCGACTCCGCCGTAGAGACACCGTGACATAGGATCGAAGGAGCGACGTACCGCCCACAGCTTGCGACCGCAGATGTTGCCGCAGGGCCTTTATATACCTGCAATGCGGCAAGGATCAGCAAAAGCCTTGGTTGGGTGGAGGAGTGAAAGGGAGGAGAACATATGTCTCCCGAATCGTACCCGGCCCCGCGCAATCCGTGCCATTTCGTGCATACTTTCAGCTGAAAAGGGGAAGGAGCTCCGAGAGAGCGCGAGGGCCGGCCCGCCGCGGAGACCCATGACACCCTCCGTTCATGAATGAAGAACGTACCTTGTATGCAGCTCGTTGGTCTTCAGCGTCATTGTGATCAGGGAAGAGCGGGATATGTTGGTATCTGGCAGAGGAGGAAGCAGTGTCAGCGCAAGTTGAGGTACATAGAACGCGCGGAGGTAAGGGTGGTGGGTGGTCTCCCGAGTCGTATACCATCCGTACCACGCCCCCTAGCACGCATCGCCATTCACAGTTACCCGGTACGGCTTGTGCACTCGACGAAGTACGAACGGGTCCGCCGCGGAGCCGTCCCACCACCCACTCAGCGCCAGAAGAGAGACACTCACGACCGAGGCGCACAAAGACGAGCATATCGCAGCACCGCTATCTCTTGCCAAAAGTGACCTGGGTCAGAGTATCAGTACATGCGCGAGGAGTGAGGAGTGAGATGACCGAGCTCTCCCGAAACGTATCCCAGCCCACACAAACATTATACACCGTTCAGATGCCTGCCGGGTGTGACAATTCGATAGGAAAATCCATCAGATTGTCACGTACAGTACCCCCAGCTGAGTGAGCCCAGGATCTGCATCCCAATGCAGTTGGACGTGGAGCTATGTCCGCCGTGGAGTGGACAGGTATATGGTTGATGGGGCGACTCACCAGAGTATCTTGCACGCGGGCAGCGCCAGGAAAGAGTTTCTGTCAACTGGTCCGTCTTGTAGTCTATGCCACCTATGAAAGATATACGTGAGCAGTCGAACATGACAACGACAAAACAGATAGACGTGGCGAGAATGGCCTCCCGAAACGTATCCCGCCCCGACGAACGGCCCGCGTGTATTTATTGACCCCATCGACCTATACGCAACCGCACATGGGCCACTGCGACCGATGGGTGTCGTTACACTTTCAACGGCACGATCGAGGGGAGGGTCCGCCGCGGAGGGTTTTCACGGCGCTTTGAAGTGGGCGAGCGTAGTAAATGACATACGAGTATGCCAGACTGCGGTTGGAGGCGTCGTTATAGGTCCCATCATCGCCATCTGAGGATCTGAGACATTGAGGGTGTACCGCGCTGACGTGGCGGCGTTTGTGGCCGTGGCGGGCGCCTCACTCAGTCGAGCAGATGAATTGCCGTAGTAAGGGACACAGTATGAGCATTGACGTGAGGTGATTTTCCATAATGGGTTCTTGGTGGCAAGCCGACGTGACGGGCGCGAACAAGGCGCGCCGCGTCGGGGAAGAGGCCCAAAGTGGCGAAGCGCATCAAATTCCCGCGCCGCCACGATCACGCGCGTGCAAAATCGCCGCGCGCTTGTCGTCGCCTCGAAGTCGTGCTTGATCCCACCGTCTTGAACAGCAACCGCAGTATACTCCCCGTCCACAGAATGAACCGACCAGGTAAGCCACATTCCCATCCAGGCTCTACCTATACTCGCATCTGCACTGTCTCATCTCCTCGCTCCGATCTTTCTTATTCATTCGTTTCCGTTGCGTGCAACAATGGTAATTGTGCTAACATATACTTCTCGCAGGTCCGCCACCGCAACGACCGCCTTCACTGGGCCCCAACCCAGCACTAGGCTTCAGACCGCAATACAACGCCTACGGTCTCCCGCCCGCCCCCGGACCAGCGCCACCAGGTCCCGGTCGTCCACCGCAAATGGCACAATACAGCCAGCCCCAACCGCGCGTCCCGCCCGGCTTCGGCGGCGCAAACGGCCGCGGGTTCTTTGGCGCACCGCCGCAACAGCAGCAACAACTGCCCAATCAGCAACAGCAACAGCAGAGTCAGCAAATAGGACAGGGTCAGGGCGGAGGAGGCGGGGTAGGAGGCACCGGCGGCGGCGAGCTCGATCCGAACGATTTTCCCGCATTGGGCGCATCGCCCGCTCAGCCGCACGCGGCGGCAGCGGCCGCGTCGTATGCGTCGGCCGGGCAGCCGCAGGCGGGCGCAGGGTTCACGCCGGACGACTTTCCCGCGCTCTCGACGGCGCCGGGCGGGGCGGTCGACGGGGCGGGCGGGCCGCCGCCGCCGCCGGGGTTGAATGGGAGTGGAGGGGCAGGGGTGCAGGAGAGGACGCCTGGAGTGTTGAATCTGGGCGCGAGGGGCGTTGCGGATGCGGAGAAGCAGAGGGTGCGTCTCTGATCTCTCTTTCAATTCGGCTCAATCTACTTCTTCGAGTCTATCTCTCTTTCGCTTGCTTTTGGGTCTCTTTTGAGATAACACTTCAAGTTATCACGTGTATCCTCGCGCGAACCTTTGTGCTGTGTTGTCGGCGACGATCTACGGCGCCGCCGCCGTCGCGCGCTTATATCGTGCTTCTCGCTCTTCCCACGTCAAGCGCACATATACACCCGCCCAGTCCGGGCCCTACATAACCTTTCTCGTCCTTTGACATCAGCGTTCAACTCTTGACCCCGATCCACGATCTTGCTCCGAACCAAGAGCTAACGATGATATCCTTCCAGAACATGAAGCTCGCCGCACAAGCAGCCTGGTCCTCGCCCTCGCCCGCACCAGCCACATCAACGCCCGCCGCACCGCCCAACCTCCCTCCGCCACCACACCTCGCCACGCCAGCACAACAGCCACCCAGTGCCACACAATCGTCCGCGCCGCACACGCCCCCGCCACTCGCGCAGACACCCGCACAACAGGTCCTCGTATCGCCCGCAGACCGTTGGGGATTGCTAGGGCTGCTGGCGATGATCAAAGGCGCGGACGCGGACGCCGCGTTATTAGCCATCGGCACGGATCTGGGCGGGATGGGGCTGGACCTCGCGAACACGCGGGACAACCTCTACAGCACGTTCGCCACGCCCTGGACGGGGACCGACCTGCACAACCCGCTCAACGGCGTCGGGCTCAACGGCATCTCGCTCGGCGGCGGCGCCTTATCATCTATCGAGCCCGAGTACAGCCTGCCCGCGTGCTACGCGGTGCACCCCCCGCCGCCGGGCCCGCAGAAGGCCGCGGCGTTCAGCGACGAGACGCTGTTTTTTATGTTTTATAGTGCGCCGAGGGACGTGGTGCAGGAGGTGGCGGCTATGGAGCTGTTTAATCGGAATTGGAGGTTTCATAAGGAGATGAGGGTGTGGTTGACGAAGGAGGCGGGGACGGCGCCGAGCAATAAGGTATTTCCCTTCCCCACCCTCACTCTTCTGAACTATAATGTATACTGACGACGCGCGGTATAGGTTGCGGGGGGCGAACAGGGACCGTATACGGTCTGGGACGCGGATAACTGGACGAAGGAGAGGAAGGAGATGACGATCTTGTACGCGGATTTGGAGGAGAAGGTGCCGTTGACGCAGCAGCAACAGCAGGCGCAACAGCCGCCGGCGACGCAACAGGCGCAGAGTGGGCCGGGGATGGTCGGGAGAGGGTTTTGAGTGCCCAATGATGATGTGAGGGGGTGTACGAGTTTGGCCTGTGTATCCTAAGGACTGCCTGATTGTCGCGATTGTCACTGTTCCCAAGATTTTTCTTCTGTTTTGCAATGTTCAATGCGCGTGTGCCCTTTTTGACTCTATATTCCCTTTGAATGACCGTTGCAAGCGCATTCTGCTCATTCACATTCACTGGCTCGATGAACTCTCGATATCTTTACATCTTGAGGCCACAGTCTTCGCGAATGAGTGGGATGGCGCCGCGGCGAGCATATGTGCATTCAATCACGACTAGTAATAACGATCGACCCGCACGCCAAACGGAACGCGGTACGAGCTGCAACTCTCGCAAACCAGCTCAGCTCTGCCAACCATCCCAAATCACCTCCAAGGCGCTTACGACGACGACCACAGACACGCTTCAAGCCGCGCGCGAGTCTATGTCAATCAAAAGCAGGTTTCCCCGAATCGAGTCA